AGTTCCACCGTAATATTCAAAGGAGACAGGAATGAAACGTAATACAAAAATAAACATTCTTTCCCTGGATTTAAATTGCGATTTTTGAACTCACGACATTTTCAAAGCCGAAATATGTTAGGCGATATAATATTATATGAAATATTCCCAGATGATAAATGTAACAGGAAATAAGATCGAAAAAACACCTTTAAATTATAAAAAGAATGTACTCAGGAAAAAGTTTTGATCTTTTTTACGAAGACGTTTTGCAATACGGTTCCCGTTCGAAAACTTCAGAGGTGACCGGGTCAAAGAAGGTGAAAGAATAAAGGAGTTTTCTTTGTCCTTATTTTTAAGATATCGCATGAGTTACGTTACTGGAAGCGAAAATTGTTTTTGGAAAACTGACGTCTAAGCTCAGTTTTATTAAGCAGTCTGTTTAAATATTTTCCTTTCAATTGATGTTTCGTGGGATCAAAAGCCTGTTCACATTCGATCAAATTATTGAAAAATATATATCTTTTTTTCTTAAAGAATATTATGAATCTGTAAAAATCTTATTTATATTTTTTAAGTATAATAAATAGCTTTACTTGATTATTCATCTGTGGGAAATATTATGTAATAATTATGTAAATAAAAATTATTATGTTACATAAATATTTAAATCATTACAGAATTGATAACACACTAAAATATGTATCATTACAGATATGGATATGTTGCAAAAATATTTATTTTTTGTAATAACAGTAAATGTAAATCAGATAAAAAATTATATTTGAATTATTATTTATATATAGAAAATAAAAAATGATAAAATTATTTACATTATTGAGTAGTATTAAACTACTGCCCTGATGAGAATCAATAATTCTGTATATGTAGTCATCATATTAGGAAGAAGGTGCCATCTATAAAGTTTTTTTAAGATTGCTAATAGCTTAATATTATTTACCTTAAATAAAATTAAAGCTGCTAGAAAGTCATATTCCGGAGATTGTAGTTTCTATTGCAGCTTGTGTCGATGCATTTGTTAAATTTCTATTTGAATCCAAGTAAAAGATCAACACTGACTTAATATTCAAACATTATAAGAATATGAAACTATTGAATGATTTACAAATCAATATTATCTTATAAGCATTATAAATAACTAATAAATACTTCACAACTCTAAATTGCACTTCACTTCACTGCACTACACTATACTATACTTAAAATCAATATAAAAATACCTATACGATATTTTTCAAAAGCTCGTTTCTGTATCAAGTACTTGTCTCAGTTATAAGGGTCTAAAATTAAAGATGAAACCTTAAAGTGTATTAAAGAGATTCCATAAATATTTGCACTGAAAAATAATTAATTGCATTTATTATATTATTAATATTTTAATATGAAAACTTAAAATTTTATATAATTTTAAAACTTCATAACGTTTTATTTAAAAAATATCTAATTAATCTTTGTAATCGGATCAACGCTTCACCTTTATGCTAATCTACATATTTTTTGGTTGAATGTTAAACTGCAAATTTGCTTGCACTTCATGATTTTAGCACAAAATACTTACAAAGTAGGTCAGCCGTGCTTGCACAGAATTAAGCGGCCATTGTGATACCATTTATTTTCTCTCTGTTTAAAACTGGACAACCATGTAAAATAAGAAAAGTTTCAATCCATTAGGTGAGTCGTTAAATTACTTTAGAAGAGTTTTAATTTATATTGAAATTAAATGTAAGTAAAAATATTCTGCCTAAAAACTGTTTTCAATAGGAAACAAGTAGAAGTCCCCAAGTAGATTGTATGAGATATACATATACACATATATACATATATAACATTTGTTACTTTCTTGTTACTGAACTGATATTGACCACATCGTAAGCTGAAGATTTTCAAATGATAGCAAAGATGTAGGAAAAGACTTCGTTTTTATTACAATATTAATTACTTAACACTGGAATTCTAAAAATAAATACATTATGAGTAACCCAGGTAATTAAATAGTACTTAACCCAATAAATAATTTATTCTAGAAATTAAAATTGTAAGCGATTCGTTGTAGGCCAAGCATGTTTAGGCCGTAATTTAATACGCCGTTACATTTAATGTAACAGATTTAATTAAAAAGTTGTTTATTTTTAAATTTAAGTGCGTCTATAAAGTTGTTATATTGTTTTGTTTAAAAATCACTAAACTCTCTATATTAAGATATTAAAATATTGGTCAAACAAAAAAAACATACTAACAAAAAAAAATACTACTTCTACAGAAACCTTGTTTAAGTGTATAAAAGTACTTAGAAAAATAGCAACCCTTAATATTATCGATCAACAATTTTTTGTTGCTCTACTTGTTATTGATAGTTTTTAAGTCGGTGCTTAACGGTGATTAGCTTATGTAAATAAACTCAAAGAATAATCTCTAGAGTAGGAATTTCATTACAGTAAGTAAGTTGTTTGTAATATTAAGTTTTATTTTGTTTAGGGATTGATAACGAATTTAAGAATAACTTTCTCGTATTGTATGTTTATATTGTTGTATTTATAATGTGTAAATTTTTGTCCTCTTAAGTTTTCTTTAAACTATAGCCCTTGGTTTTGTTCTTGTTTAAATTCCACTAAATTTGGTCTTAATTTCAGAAAAAAAAATATCTTTATCTTTATCTTGTCACTTACGTTTTAATAAAATAGCCACATAAGACGTTCAATTTTCTAAATAATAATCAATTTCCCTATTTACTGATGTCTTACCTACATAGGTAAATCTCATGATTTTGTTTACATATTAAAGTTATTAAAATATATTTACATGTACATATGCATATATTAAATTTGAAAGCTTAGTATATCCGTAAGCACCGCATTCACCGACTGAGCTTACACCTAAAGATAGAAGCGAAAATTACTTCAAAGTGTAATGCGGCTTAAAGCCACTGCTACTGTAATTAGTAAAGCGTTCTAGAATTCCATATCACGTAGGTGATACGATATCTGATTCTGAATTGTGAATAAATTATTACATTTTTATATATATTTTCGCAAACAATTATGCATCGTGTTTCAAGCACTGTTTGCGCAGTAGTTGAACTAGTTAAAACATTTTTGATTCAAATACGTATTGTATTTAATTACAAAGACAGAGTAAGGGCGTTTTTATTTATAAAATATAAATTATATAAAAGCCTTTTTTATGTAAAAATCACAGTTTGTTTAATATTTACATAAAACTGTTTTATCTCTTCGATCGCTTTGTAGGCTTTTATGTTATTCTAGAATAATATTCATTTTGATATCAATAGAGATCTTTACTTGTCTCAAAATAGTTTTTAAAGAAAACACAAATACTGATCAGATCTTAAAATAATAAACTTAATTTATTCAAAACTAATTCAGTTATTATATGAATCGAAACTGAATAATACTTAGAATTGTTCTATTGAAAAAGATATCATTGCTTGGGTCCCAAACTGTATTTAAGATAAATAATATGATCAAAGTTCTTTGAATACAAAACCTTAATATTTATGATAAAAGTATAATCCACTCATAAAAATAAACACCTTTGTCCTCTAATAGCTGACAAGTCTTCGCAGTCAGAATTATACTTTAATGAGCTTATTCAAAGTTAGAACGATAATAACAAATAAATTTCGTATTGTTAATTGTCTTTATCGTTTAAGACACGATATGTTAATTCTAGATTGAATTACCAATATTTTCGGTATTCATTTCTGTATGTCTAACTTAAGCTGAATTCTACAAACATTCGTTGCATTTTGTTCTAACTCATTATACAATTTATACAATTATTTTTTTTGTAACATTTATATTACTTTCGTAGCAATATACCGTAATTGTAACTAGTTTTTACCGTTTGGATAATAAATACCTTACTAAGACTAAATTCATTCAAAGAAATTGTAATTTTGAAGAGACTAAAAGTTTCACTAGAATTTATTGTTTGTAAAACATTCTTAAAACGCAATATAAGAATGTTTTAGAACATACAATCAACATGTTTTCATACAAATAGTTAAAACAAAATAGGTGTGAAAAAAGAATCTGCATATAATTCTTATGTCTAATGTAAATCGGTATTAAGATTATGTTTTTTTTTACAATTATGCTTCCTATAAACGTTTGTGTTAGCTACTTAATAGTGATTTCAAAATATTTATTCGCATATTCAGACTTTCAATACTTTGAAATATGTATTGAAATCGATTTCCTTTGATCTGGTTATAATTAAAATGAGATCAAAATTTGTAAAAGCATTGTGAGGTGGAGAAGAATATAGTATCTATATTTATTCACATAATTGAAAATAAATATAGGGGAGTTGAAAATATGTGTAATAATTAAAACTAAAAAGAATAATCTTCATAAATGTATATCAGCAGAGGGACATCGCGCAAAAGTCGATTTATAAATTAAATTTGTACCAGTATTTGATCCTATATATTAAGAATTCTTTAAATATAAATTCCATAAGTCAAACTAAGGTAGAACTTTTTGTATACTATTTACAAGAAAAATTATTATGGTCAACTGTTTTATTATTTGAACACAAAATTATCATTGAATTCGAGGCTTCACACGTATATGGAAATTATCAGTAAATTCCGGTAAAAATAAATAAACAGGTATATACACCTTGCCATTTTCATTGTTGAATTATTCATGATCTCTCACGCGAGCCAAGCCAAGCGAGGGTTGAAGGAAACTCCTAACACGACTAGTATAAGGGGAGTAAAACGAAATGCGTAAGCCACCGACTCGATTTAGGGACCAAATAAAAAAAATAACGTATCTTATTACTGCAGCATTTCAAACCGCAAGAGAATCGCTGAAATAAAAACGCCTTGAAGCATAAGTATCCTAATTGAATCGCAACTGGCTGTAGAAGGGTGCTATTAAAAAGAAAAAAGTAACGTCGTACTTATTGTCATCATTAGTAAAAATTGAAGTATCTATTTGCTTTGAATTATTTAATTATATTGAATAGGAAATATGGCAACCGTCAGTCACTTTTTACCGTCGTCTCAGGAATTTTATAATGAATTACAAGAAAGAGCTGATTTGGCTGAGAGCAGGAGACATAAAAGGTTTCTTGCAGTTTTATTACTGCAGCGAATGACACGAGGTTACTTAATTAGAAAGCATATTGCTTGGCTAGCAGAGAATGCTACAACGATACAATGTGCATTAAGAAAACACAGGGCTCGTAAAGCATACCGCGCGGCCTTGAGAAGGGCGGTGCGATATAAACACGCTAAACATTATGACAAAGCAGCAAGGACTATACAGGTTATACATACTATAAATTTATTTATCTGAATAGATTTTAAACAACAATTTTATCACTCGATTTCTTGTAAATATTCGTATATATATATATATATATATATATGGAAAAAATTAAGAAAAAATCATATTCATATTTAAAATATTTTTACATTGCAGTCTCTTTGGCGTGGACACTATTCGAGACGCACAAAGTTTTGTTATCGATCTTATAGAAAATGGCTTGCAATAGTAACGGAACGGAGAGAGCGTCGTGCGGCAGAAGCTGCAGAATTTGGTGTTAGAAGCAGAGCAGATGATTTGAAAATTTTAGAGGAAGAAGCACGGCAATGGCTAGCTTTCGTTGTGTTTAAATTACATCATTTACTTAGAACCTATGTCTGTTCTGGAGTTTATTCGGAAACTGCCAGCAATGAGCTTTCAGAGTTTGAAAAATTATTAAAATCTATTCATTATACTGAATATATGAAAAGATTAAAACGGAAATACAATGAATTTGTAAGAAAGCATCGACCACGATTTTCTAACAAAAGGCTTTTTCCTGTCATTGGGGATGGTTCAGAATATTGGTATCTTTCACTGCCCGAAATGTATGAATTAACAAAGCCAGTACCAAAAAAAGAAGACACCCGACATCTTGCCATGCATCATGGTCCCCAGCATGAAAAGCCATTTTTATGGAAAAAAATTAGGTCTGGCACAATCAATTCCAGCAGAGGACCTTTCACAATGACAAGGAAACCAAGACCTTCTTCGCCTCCTCCGCCAGCACCTACTCCTAATGGTGATAGTAAACCGCAAAAAGATCCTCGTTTTCATCTATACGTCAAACATTACACTCCCCAACCGGATCTCATAGACTATGTGGACTACCACATAAACGCCTTACTAGCCAGGAAATGTTCAATACAAAATGTAGACGAAGAGTCATAGAAACGTCTGTAATTTTTTGCATTGATTAAATTGTTGCTATGTGTGTTTTAAAGTTCTTCGTTCAAAGCATGTTGGTTTTTTCTTTCCTTGTTCGGAAATCCGTAATCAGGCTGCTGAGTTTGGAAGGGTCGTCCGGATGTTGAGAGCCGCGAGCCTTTTGTGTTACGCTTTTGTTGTTCTGAATTTTACACTTGTAATTTATTTGAGGAAACACCTCGGTGAGAAAGAAATTACATTAAGCTCACCAAGGCAAATGTGTTTTGTAAATTACCTTTAGGCTAAAGAATTTTTTATTATTCGAAAAGCCTTCTAATTATTTGAAATTTATTGTTTGTGTATTTTAAACGTTTAACACATCATTTACTTTTAGGGTGATTCTGATAATATTTAGCATTACAATTATTAAAACAACATATAATTTAAGCATTTATGGGACTAAAACTTTTCATTATTTTATATATTTTGCCTGAGACATAACGTTTCCCATTTATTGCCTTACAAATGAGCTGTCGTAATAAGCATCTTCTAAATAATACATTCAACACCACACGTCTTAAAACTCATTTGTCTAACAATGCCTGTTTGACTAGGCAAATTTATTAGGGTCAGAATAATTCAGCTTGTGGGTTTCTGAACCGACTCCTTATTGCATAGCCGTCTTGAGGGGTAACCATTTGTTAGATGTATAATGGTTGACCCACTTATGTTTCACGTAACTGTTGGAGTGAAGTGCAATTTGTGAAGCTTCAAGACAACAATAGCACGTTGCTTTGGAACCAATCTATATTTACATAATACGATGTAAAGGCCGTATTCTACTCCAAGGTCACGCTGATGGAATTGCCGTAGGCTCGGTACGTCCTCAGTTTTGTGAATTTGTGCCTCCACTGAAACTGTCAGGCTCAGAGGGTGTTTGGCACATGAATAATGTATGGGGTAAATTTGCAAGTGTTTCAATTTACACCCGACGCCACTCCGCGCTCGTTCATACGCAACCAAGAGCCGTTGAAGTGCAAAAGAAAACTATGCGAGGAGCACAAATGGGGACAAGTAAATGAGCTTGAATTATCACGTAACAACTTACTACGCCATTGTATATTTTTATTCTTTTTATAATTATGAACCCGACCTGACCTGAAATAAGTGGCGCGAAAAATGTTAATGAAAGCAACGTTTATAATTTTTTTTTTGTTTTTTTTTTTACCGTCTGTTGCTTAATTTTCGGATCAAATAAATATTTAAGATGAAAAAATTTATTAGGCAGCCACTTTACTAAATTGTATAATTTATGCATAGATGTCTACCTACCGCTATAGTTTTTGACAAGTTTATAAGGAAAAATAGCATACATATATATGTTTATTATAATATTTTGTATAACGAATATTTAAAATGCAACAAGCCAATCGCGGATATTTGTCCTCGGGGAGCCTTTCAACTGCTTGCAATGAAAACTACTTAGGAGGGTTTAATTGAATTTTATTTCTTTAATAACTACTCTTTAAACACTTAAAGAAATATTCTCATATATTTTACAGTAGTTAAAGTAAACGTTAATTTATAAAATTCACCTCATCAGTTAGCAGTGTACAATTTTTGGCACAAGCAATTATACCGGCAATTTCATTAATTTCTATTAGTTGTTTGATTTAAAACAAATTTATTTTCCAATAATTGAATATTTTTATATAAACGAAAATGATGCCGCTATAATTAAACAACAATTAAAAATTTTTGGTAATAATTTTTTTCAATTATCGTTTAGGTTTAATGAACCGTACTTATTTGCTATGTCGTATAATTATAATAATACAATATTCTCACAAATATTTTGATAAACAAATAAAAATAGTAACCAAAATTGCAATCAGTTATTGGAAATTAACTATATTTGGAAATTAAATAATTTCAGATTGAAAATTCCTGAACGAAAATTTTATTTCGTTGATTAAAAAATATTTCCTTGAATCGTTTTAAATACCCTTTACCCCTTTATACTGCCAAAACAAAAGCACGATCTGCTCAAATCCGAATGCAATTAAAGGATTTTTTTACCCAAAAAGCAGGGCATTCTTCAAATATCTTCGTGAGCGTAATTCTGAGCAGAAGTTCCCAATCGATAGGGGAGTGAGTGGGTCCGTGATCTGTATGAAAAATGTGGAACGAACGGTACGCGGTAATTAGTGGTTCGGAGACGCCTCGGCTTGCGACCCGTACGTTCTTTATTGTATGATATATAGAAAAGTTTCGCTTGAGGAAATTACGAAGTAATGTGTTAGAATACACATATTAGATCAAAAAACGTTATTTTATCTAAGAACTTATGATTGAATTACGTAAGTGTAGTTAGTCAAGTAATTTTATAAGTAAACGCATTTGTTATGGAAATATTTTTGAAATTATAATCAATTTTTATTTTGTTTTTGATAAAAGAGAACAATTTAGTATTCTATAATGATAACATGACTTAACAGAAATGAAACAAACTTCCTTTAAATTTTGTAACTGTTTTAATAAATAGAAAGGTACATTTTAGAAGTAAACTTACTTATTCCCATGTATGTGCTACTATTTGTATAGATTACTTTAAAAATATCGTAGTCATAAAAGAGGTTAATGAAAATATTTAAATTTGATCATCTTTCTATAATATCTAAAGCCTATAACGTTTCGCGTATTAATGAGTTATGAATGATAAACAGTTAATGAATGCGAATGTATCACATAATATGGACGTTTCTAAAGCTATTTATTAATCAAAAGCTAATGGCTTTCAAAATATTTCTAAACCGATTGCAATCTGTGTAAACCAATACCACGAAATAAGTCACTGGATTAGAGTTTACATTTATCATTGCGCAATGATTGAATGTCAACATTTCAAATTCGTATTCACGGGAAGCTTTTTAATTGAAATCTGTACCTGCATGCGAAATAACAATTTTGCTAAACAATTCACAGCTTGAATAACGCTGTTTTAGTGGTAAAACAGTTTTCAATTTAGTAGATTTTAGCTAAGAGGTACATGTATATTTTAATACATAAAAATTTACATCATGGTCTTTTTAGGTTTTCAATAGACTACTATTCCATCCCAAATTACATAGATTTCATTCTTAATTAAAGTAACTTTAATAAAATCACTCGGCTTCAGATAGTTTTGCTAGAAGCTGAAAATTATTTTGTTTTTTGTATATATTATTTTAAAATGATCTTGAAAACTTTTGAAATATAGAATTTTTATCAACTAACTTTAAATAACTCATGCATTTTAAAATTCCAATGTCTTTTTAGTTGCGACTATTTGTATTTTAATATAAAAGGTAAGTGAAATTAGTTTTCTTCTTTTGATTCAATTCTGGACGTCTGTCTAACCACAGTGTCGTCTGATTCTGACAGCTCTCACTGCTCACATTCATTTGCGGCGGCCACGATTTTATAAATAAAACAATATTTTTAAATCCTCAATACTTATGTTTCTTTATTAATATATATTCTTACAAGTGATTCTCTCTGTGCTGTACAAATTATAATATAATAAAATCCTAAACATTATTTTTATGACTGAATACAATTAAATATAACACTGAACCATTTTAATTTTGTAATGGCAACCTGTATTTGAAAAAAATATAAATAATGGCTTCAGTCATTTTTCGAGACATTACTGGAAGTAACGCCGAACATTGAAAAACAAATCTGACACTATACGAAACGAACAATAGACGTAATAAGCCTATTAATTATACTTACTTTTCAGAAGGATTCCATCATAAAGCAAAATATCATATATATTTGTTCATGGTATAATTGTCCTATGTATCACAGAACAGAAAAGTAATAACAACGCAGTTATTATAATATTTTAATAAGAGACACAAACTAACATTCATATGCCATTGCAAAACTCTTTTACACGTCACCTTTCAACCCTTACAACACAGAGGTACTACACCATAAAGCTACTTTGAAAGTGGAAACAATGGCGTCGCATTCGAATATGTGTGAGTTGTTACAGCCAACTGCATACAACCTTAAAAGATTTTATATGGCTTCCCGAAATATTTCAAAGAAATACGAGTATTTCTCTGCATTAAATTATTTTAAACTAACTCAAACGAGATACTTAGGAAAGCAAACAAAGTTGATAAAGTAAATTCTATTTGCTGCTGAATTGTAAGCGATCTTGTAATAGATATTCAAATTTATTTTGCAAGGACACAAACGAAACATAATAACTTTAAGACGTTTATAAGTCACTTTATTTTAAACTCTGTTATATATCAACATCAAAAGGTTTCGCTCTAAGAAGACTGAGGAAAATATTCTTCTTCAGTTTAATTTTATCATAAAAAATATATAAATAGAAACATTTTTAAGCTGAGGATTAAAAGATTGTCTTTCACATATGTATTTCTCATTAATGTTATACAATGAATATTATATTATAAATATTAGTACATACTATAAACCAGAATATAATTAAAAATGAATAAATGGGTTTTCGGATTTAAAAAACAGTTAGGGTTAAATATGTCTTAATTCAATAGTATTAATAAAATATAAATCTTTCCTAGTATTACTATTTTGGAAAAATTTAATTTAGTATAATCCATTCCTCATTTTATTAGTAATAGATTGTTATATAACATAATTAATGTTTTTATTAAAAATATATAGTCTTTAAGTAGCATATGTGCCAATGTATTATTACTCTCTTCTCTTACATAAGGCTATGTAAGAAACAGAATAGATATTTTTGTAAATGTATATTTTTAATTCAGAAACTCCGAAAAAAAATAATACATCAACATGAGGATACCAGTAAAAAAACTCTAATTGCCGAAAAGGGTCTTTTAAACCTTGCCCAGAACATTTTCGGGGGGCACCGATGGTCGTTTTGAAATTTCACAAGAGGTTTTCATTTCCGTTTGAGTGTTTTGTATTTTTATAGCTTTGATTTTTGGAGCACTTTTAAATATATTTCGTATAATTTTATT